TCTATATTGTACCCCCAAAACATGAATAAGCTCTTACATGGAAACCAGATTATGACTCTTCATAACTCAAGAGATAAAAGCTAACAGAGATAAAGCAAATGTGGTCAAGGTTTCACACCTTCAGGACTACTGACATTTTGGGTCACATAATTATTTGTTATGGAACCTGTTTGGTGTATGTAGACATTTAGCAACATCTCTGTATGGACACAGACAGACAAATGGACAGATAGATGGACAAACAGACACACACGCACATGCACATTCACACACCACACACCACACACACACACACACACACACACACACACACACACAGTGTCACCAAATGTACCCGGGTGCAAAAGTCTTACCTGGTTGAGTCAGGTGAAAAGGTTTTAACTTACAGAGATGGGTTTTTTAACTCTACCAACAGAAATCTGTGTTTTGCATGTTCATAAATATTTGGGTTTATGTGTTATTATTTTATGTTTTTGCTTAATATGTATTTTTATAATGATGAAATTTGTTTCTAATGCCAAAAACAGCATAGAAAAAATACCCATGACAAGCAACTTGCATTCCAAAACTTCCTATTATTATTATAAAATAAAAAATAGAAAGAAGATTAAAAATACATCTGTAGTCACAAAAAAATAAAATACAAACAGAGTTTTTCTCAGTGGTAGAACCGGGCCCTTGCTAACATGCTCAATGGTTGAGCCCTTATTAGCATGCACAAAGCCCTAGGTTCAACTTTTAGAAAAACAATGTACTACACATTTGTTTGTGTTTATGTGAGCATATAAATATGCATATGTGAGTAGATCTATAAATAAGCACTATGTGTCTAAAGTCATTATGACTTATGACTTTTTCCTTGTTTTTATTTTATAACTTCAGATAATCCAATCAGCAGAGTATGAGACTGAAGCCATCTAGATATTTAACTCTAGTTATCTACTTGGAAAAATATATCTATCTATCACCCTATATATTAGGAGACAGTAATTACCCTGTTTACTGAATTCAGTAACTTTCTTCAAGAAACAAGAATATGCCAGGTGGTTGTGGTACATGCCTTTAAATCCCAGCACTGAGAAGCCAGAGGCAGGCAGATCTCTGAATTTGAAGCCATCATGGTCTATAAAGTGAGTTCTAGGATAGCTGGGGCTACACAGAGTAACACTGTCTTGAAAAAAAAAATATATATATATATATATGTATATATATATATATATATATATATATATATCAAAAACAAAAACAAAACGAACAAACAAAAAACTCAAACAAAAACAAAACAAAAACCCAAAAAAAAAAAAAAAAAAAAAAAAAAAGGTCCCCATAACCTTGGTATTAACTTGGTGATATGAGTAATGAAAGGGAAATAAAGTTAAAATGTATTGGGGGGCTTGTAACTATTTATTGATTAAATTTGCATTTGTGCTCACTTGCTGGAAACTACTTCAAATTTAAGCACTCAAACACTGTTCTTTTTATATACACATAATAGTTTCATTGAAAAATTTATTGCTGCATTTTACTTTACATTCCATTTTAGATGCAGATAGTTGGACTGAATAAATTTAAAGTGTAATTGAATGACCAAAGGATAAAAACACCCTTTTCTGATTCCAAATAGTTCAATCTATCATTACAGAAAGAAAAAAAAAGTGAATTTACACACACACAGGAAAAAAACAAAACAAAACAGGTTAATGGAATAGAGATTTTTCTTCCTGCTTTATGTTGCCCTCTCTCTTCTAGACTACTTGCCAGAAGACATTCCCAGTGTAATTCCCCAGAAGTGGCACATTTAATAGGCTAATGGGTGGTACCATTCTTGTGACCCAACTGATTCTATTCAATCTGTGCCTAGAGAAATTGTGTTGTTGTTAATACACAATTTCCTGCCACTAAAGGGAAAAGGTCAGGCAACTCACTAAATGGGGGGTGGAGGGCAAGCTAGGTTAGTTTCTGAGAGTATTCCCAAGATTGTTTCTTGCCTTCGAGATTCACGAGACAAAAGTGCTCTTCTGTAATTTTAATAATAAACTGACCATACATTCTGAAATTGTGCCAAAGGAACTCATTACTACGTCATCAATCAGATCAACACATTTTGGCCAATATATTAGTTGTGCATACAAAAGTATGTTATCATAACATCCCAATGTTTGTAAATCTAGCTGGCCTATGCTAATAACTAGTAATAAAACAGAAAAAAAAAGATGGCAAAACATTGGGGTACTTGAAGAAAAGCCAAAAACGTTTAGATTGCCCACAATAACATTCTCTCGGCTCTCCCACACATACACATAAACCTCTAAACACAGAGGGATCTGGACACTTGTTCTTGTTCTTTTATGAAGTTGGTTAAAAATAAATGAACAAAACCTTAAAGAGAAAACACTGCAGTAAAGTTGAAATATTCTAGCTGGAGAAATTCCTGCAAAACTATTTACAGTCCCACAGAATCATAAACATTTTTCAAAAATACTTCATAACGTGATTTTTAAGCAATGTTTTCTTCTTGCTGTTGAGACTTAAACATTGAGTGTTTATTTCACATTAAAAATACACTTACTAGAGCTGGCCTTGCCTTTTTCATAAGAGAGCTTTCAGTTTAAAGTAGCATGTCAAGGTTTAGATGTTTCTCAGACAAATCTTTGTGCTTCACCTTTCAACTAAGAGGGTTAGTTTTCAACAATATGTAATTGATAGAAAACGGTGTGGAAATAATATTATTTAATCCTGGGAGCTTAACCAATTGGACTTCAGAAACAAACATTGCCTGTACAGAATTGGACACAGACCCACAGTCTGAAGCTCTGATCCATGCTCTTCATCACACAAACCTCAAAAGACATTCAAATTTCACAGAAACAGTGAGAACAAGCTTGAGTTTTAACCGGGAGAGATGAGACACCTTTTTAAAATTAAAGGAATCTTCCCAGTTTCAAATATTTAAATGAACAAAACGTCTAACTCTGAGATAACTTTGAAAACCCTCCCCTCTGTAGCTGCCGACTTGGGCTTGACAAACCTGCTGAACTATGCAGATGTCAGAACAGCTCTTGGTTTCACAAGGGAAGAAGGAAGCAGGAGACATTCCACAGCTGCTTGCAGCAGCTCCTTTCCCAGGGGCAGAGCTGCGGGCTCTATCAAGCTCAATCACTTTGTACAGCAACTGGGGAATCCCAGGCAGAGGCAAAGAAACCCCAGAGCCCAACACTACAGCAACAAGTAACACTACTTAAAGAATAACCAGTTATTTCCAACATTACTTGGCCCTGGGACAAAAAAAAAAAAAATGTATGTATGTATGTGGGGGAGGAGAGACAACACCTGTAGTTAGAGAAAACATAAGATGTTCCATATTCCTAAAGTTTCAAGCTACTTAACAGGAGACCTCCCTCAAACCTTTACTAGAAACAACTGAGTGTTTGATTTTTGTTCTCAGTCAAGTTTTTTCTTTGGATGGTGGGGAGAGAATAGCGCAGTTGAAGAAACACAGAACCTGACAGTTAACTCAGCAACTGTAATGCAGTACCTTGACTGTGAAGTCTTAAAGGTCTGAGTGTGTATGACAGTAAAACCATGTTTAAAGGCTCCACACTCCGCTTTTACAACTCCTTTACAAAGCCTAAAGTACCTGTATTAACAATACAGGGACTAAAACCAAGCAACCAAAGATGTTGTCTACCTGACGGTAAGAGATGATGCAGCCACTACTTCCTTAGGATAAACCAGGAAGTAAGGCTATAAATACACAACTCTACTAATAACAGAAACTCCCGGTCACTGTTCCCAGCAAACACATTTTTGTGCTCAGCATCCTCCTGCAGGGTGGTATGATATAATTCATAGATGCATGTAGCTATGATTATTACTATTACTTGGTAAGAATATCACAAAAGCATTTACAAGACTTCACCAGGAATAACAATGAAAAAATAATGATGTTATATTTATTGTGGACTTGGATGAGGAAAGCATTATACTGAATGATAATTTGTTATAATATCATATGTAATACCATTATATTATCATTGAACTAATAAATAATACAGTCAGAATTTAATTTTTTTTTACTCTTAGTCTATGCTCTGGTTCTTATGTTTTACTAACTACGATGAAAATGACATCTGAAAATAATTTGGAATAACGTTAAGTATTTTAAAAATTAATTTTAGGGATTTATGTTATGGTACTACATTGCCCTAGTCAGAGAAAAATAGCCCCTGCATCTACACTGTTTATAATCTCCTTTTCAATTCTCGGTGTTGTTACAGTCCAAGAATTCTAAATTTCAGATTACTATTTTCCTGTTTTAGAGACCACACAGTCAAGGATCTAACAGGTAATTAATTCTACTATATAACAACTACTGACATGTATCAACACGCCACCAGGCCTAAACTTTTAAAGTAAGAAAACTTTTGATTTCCTGTTTGATAAAAATACCGATTAGAAAAAACATTCCTCAAGCCTCAAAGACCTCTGTTTACAGTTCAACAGCATACCTCCAAGACAGCACAATGTCCTCAAGCAGGGAGGACTAGTGAGCAGAAGCTAGTGACATATGGGGTGTGCTCGGAAGTTGCAAGATGTTAAAAAAAAAAAAAAAAAAAAAAAAAAAAAAAAAAGACGTGTGAGTGAGTTGGGTAGAAAAAACTGTAAAGGCAAGTCAATTTTTTAATTAAAAAATTATGTAGCATAAACAATGCTAATGATCCAAAAGTCCCAAGAGATGAGGATTGTATCTGCTTCATTTTAAGGTCCCTTTCACTTTCTGTAAGTGTACACTCTGCACTTGAAATGCAGGAAGCAGAAACTTTTCATAAGAATTTTGGAGGTTTTCTTTGTCTTTGTTCTCAAGTTGTCAATTTGATGACAAATTACATGCACGCATGCACGCATACGCCACACACACACACACACACACAAAGGCATGAACATAAATATGGATAAGAAGAGCCACGATCACTTTTAGTGCATCACCACAATATAGGTACCTGGAAGCTCCTCATAAATTTCATCATCGATTGGCTGGTTCCTTGATGGGCTGCTGACGGGAAGAGGATGATCGACGTCATCATATAATTCTCCTCTTTCATCATCATCCTCTGGAATCACATCAGATCCCATGTCTTCAAAGCACCATTTGTGAAGCAAAATTTAAAAGAGTGCAAAAGACTTATGACTGTGTTTCTTAAGTGAACACAACTCTACAAACTAATACCCTCATGCTATGCTTTTAAATTAAAACATGTTTAAATGGTGTGAGTCTTAAAGTTACCAACAGTATCCAAAGGAAGCTGCTTTCATAAACCCAAGGGAATGGACAATATTATACCAAGAGAGCATGTCAGTACTCTCTTGATCATTCTCAGAAGTCAGTAAGGCTTTTTATGTGAAAACCCAATCCAACCCAGTCCTAAATTAATATTTAAGGACCATGAAATCATGTCCAACTGGTTCTCTTACCTTGTAATATAAATTTCAGCTGCTGCACCCATTCCTCAGCATCTTTGGGAGAAGCTGCTGTAAACTAATGAAAAAATTCAAACAATAAGAACCGAAATTGTAACAGAAATGTAAAAGGTATGCTGCATTCTTATAATTCTTAAGAACATTAGTGATTCCTTTCATGTCTAGGGTACTGTTCTTGCAAGGATGCTTCTTATAATGTACAGTTAATTTTGACAAATTTGTGTAATTGATGCAGAGGATGATGGATTTGAAACTCTGATCAGCAGCTGGCAGCTGCACAGGGAAAAACACTGCTTCTCTTCATCAATGTCAAAGGCTGAACTGATGAACAGAATTTGCCCTTGACAATTAGAAGACATCCATGAATTTCTTTAGACTGCTGGGTACAGTTTTCTTAAAAATGTTCTTGTCAGATTCCAACACACTAACTGACAACTTAATTAACTGGCTTTCAACTGCAATCTCAGATATTTAAAACTTATTAAACATACATTCCATATTGATGCCTAGCTGATGGCTCTTGAATTGCAGAGCTGATAATGCGTCTTTATCTTCATTTTCTCCCACACCCCTAAGCAATACAATATGCATTAATACTCTTAATATTTTTCCTTTGATGATTTTATTCTTTCTGCTATGTAATTCATTTAGGAAATCACACAGTTCTATTAAAGTAGATGTAAAATGTTACATGTGATATAATTGATAAATTTCAGATTCAATTGGTCTTTTGGAAGGACACATCACCTGAACTAACCAGAAAATTTTAAGTGTATTTCCTCTATGTGAATGTTCAATGTACAAAACAGTATTTTTATTGTTGATATATCAGGGAAAGCTGTTTTAATAAAATGTTAATGTCTCTATAAATGAAATCAGAACATCTTATCAAGTTAATCTTAAGACAACATAAAAATTCCAACCTGATAGATACGTTTATCAGGAGCACAGATTTCAAAACAGCAATCTTTCTTTCCATCCTTTCTGAGGGTGTTATTCATTCTGACATCATAGCCCTCTATTGCAAATTCGCCTTTCTGTTGTTTGTCTACAGGAGATAAAAGCCAAGTTAGAGTTTCCTTCACTACAGTGAATACAAATGCCCAACTATCTCCAATGGAGGTTTTCTTCTTTAAGTCTCTGGGAGAAATTTTGGTCAGCTACTTTAGCAATTCTAAACTGTGAAAGTGAGGTGAACCAGAGGAAGAGGTCTGGAGATGCTGGTGGTGTTCACAAGGAGGTGAGGAAATGCATAGGGGAAAATCTAAGCACTGGAACTTAAAATTTGCTACAAATTTTCGTTTCAGGGTTAGGCTGTAGAAGTGCCTCCTTGAAGCTTGCTGGACCCTTTTGTTTACTGTCTTACCCTTCCCTTAGCACCACCACCAAGTTGGAGTGGTCCTTTATAGAAAAGTTTTCTAATCTTACAAAAAAAAAAAAAAAAAGGAAACCAAGCATGAAACAAGAGCCAAGTACATGGCTGGAGCAGAGAGAAAAGGCAGATAAACTGACATTAATAAAGAGCCAGTTAGTGGCCAGGCAACTGGTGAGACCTAACCTATTAGCACAGTCACAGAACAGAGGGCTTCAATTTGGTGAAGTATTATTTTAAAGACAAACAAAATAGAACAGAAACAAAAGGTTTAATACTCCAAAACTAAGAACATTGGCTTTCTTTATTAGGCTGTGCCATGTTGACAGAAAAAGCTACACAGCAATAGGTTTATTTTCTGCATTAGCACACAACCCTAAAATCAGGAGGAGGGACAAAGTTTGTTTTACTGAGCTCAGGGTGAAGTACAGAAATGCTTTCATAATACAAGGCCAACAATAAAATGCTATCTTCTTTTCTTAAATACACTAATTTAGCACCTGAAGTAGCATCACTTTTTAAAGGCCATGGAGATCATATGACAAATGAGAAAAAATATGAGTTAGATAGACATGACCTAAGCCTGAACACTCTATTTAGTCATAATTTATATATCTGGGTGACTAAAAATTTCCAGTTAAAATTTTTGAACTTCATTTGGTTGGGAAAAAATCCATACTTAACTCTAAGTTTTACAAAACTATCCTTTAAAAGTTATAGGCCAGATGTGTCCCTATAAATCAGCAAAGGACCTAAGGTAAGAAGATCCTGAGTTTGAGGCCAGCTTAAAGGACAGTGGGATATCCTGCATCAAAACAAAGAAAGGAGAGAGGGGTACCACACTGTCTAATATGCGTTCCTTTAGACACCAGGGTGATTCTCTAATCATATGTTTAAGATGCTTTTTGCTGAACTAAACGAAACTAATGGAGTTGAGGATGTAGTTCAGTGGTAAATCATCATCTACTATATACAAGATATCCTCAGTACTGACAAAAAAAAAAAAAAAAAAAAAGTTAAAGAGTGTAATCAGTCTAGATTATATAATTATGTCTTTCTTAAGGCCGTTAGCATATCTACATACCAAGTGAATTTCTAGGAGAAAAATCTATGCAGTATGTGCAAACAAGACTCATCTATGAAATTCTTTTATCCAGAGAATACTTTATATATCTGATGCTCCCCAGACATAGTCTGTGAAATACCTAACTGGGAAAATACTGAAGGAAGAGTGAAAAACAGTAAGTGGTTAAATACATTTGATTCTTCTACCATTTTCAAAGAAAAAAAAAACTAAGCCTTCATTCATTCAACAAATTTATATTAAACACTTTAAACATGCCTGGTAGTTAAGATAAAAGTTATTAATAGCACACTTTATCTGATCTTTCTCACCGAAATAAACATACATGTATTACAAATGTAGATATTTCCCAAATACCAGCCAATGATCCACTTATACTTCAAGAGGAATTTAACTCCCACTACAAAAAAATGAAAGTAATATGAGGCAAATACTTAAGTGGTCCAGTGAAATTTTGCAAGATTTTCCTTCAACTCTGCCAGAGAAATAAGACTTCAAAGGCCAGATCCGGATGAAACCTGGTCCCCACGCCAAAGCATTCCATCTCCACTCACCGCCTGATCAGAAGCACGGGCTTTCTCCAGCTAACCTAACTCAGAACTCTCATCACTGTAACTCAGTGATGCTGAAATGCATAAGGAGCGGGAGATGTAAAGTCAGCAGCACAGGGAAGGGCTGGAGATACCCAAGGCTAAAATAACCGATGCCAACACCATGTGACCCCAACCAACACCAGCAAAGCCACTTTACACAATCCTTCCCCAAACTCGTTGGGGCACATTCATATCTTCTATTTACAGTCTAGGAGGAGAGCCAGAGAAGCCATGAATGCAATTTCCAGTAAACATTTCAGATAATATAGACACATTACTGTAGACAAATCAGAGAGGAAAAACAAAGAAGCAACAAGATTATGGAGCCTGTGGAGATAGCTCAGTCTGTAAAGAACCCATCTGGCACGCATAAGGGCCTCAGCTGATCTCAGCAACCTAAAACAAAGCCAGGCAGGGTTGTACATGCTGGTAATCCCAGCTCTGTGGGGTGGAAGTAGGCAGATACTTGCTCTCAATGGCCAACTAAGTTATCCTAACCAATGAGATGCAGGCCAGTGAGAGACTACCTCACAAGCAAGGTGGGGGAGGGAACTAAGGAATGGACTTAGTGACATCCCTACTTGCTTTGTAAACATGAGGACCTGTTCTTGAATTTCCAACACCAACAACCAATACTATATGTTCTGAGCTATACTACAAAGACACTTAGAGTACTATTTTATGTGGAAAATATTATCAGCTACATATATTTATTAAATAAAGGGCTCTAGGTAGCTGTGAGTATCCACGGGCTTTCACGGTGCTGAATTTCTGCTTTTCCCTCCCCTGAGATGTCCACTTTGTCCTCTCTTAGTCCATCTGCACTGTTGGCACAGCCATTACCGCGTAATTTATGAACAATAGAAATTTACTTCCCAAAGTTTAGCAGATTAGAAATCCAAGACCGAGGTGCCAGCAGGTTAAACATCTGGCAGGGTCTTCCATGGTTGCAAGTGACCATTGTGCTTCAGTATCCTCCAGAGGGTATGGCCTTGTAAGGCAGAAGTACAAGAGAGGGCTTCAGAGCTCACTTGAACATTGTCATTGTGTCATTCAAGAGGGGAAAGCCCTCAAGGTCCAATCACGTCTAAATGCCCTACAACCTTCAAATTACAAATTTTGGATAGACACACAATTAAAATTATGGCTTTTCTCCAGTAAACTTCTATTCATTCTTTATGGCCAGTAAAATGTCCTTGTTACAAGGATGTTTTCCCAAAGGCCCCTAGCAGTTAGTTTCACTTCTTTGTGATCCAAAGGTATTTAGTTTAAATTACTTAATATACCTCATTGAATTTATGTCTGTCTGCCTTGCCCCTGCCTCTGATTTCACAGCTTCTTATCTTCTCACTGATACTCACGTAGCTCAAACAGTAAGCACCTCCAAGGATCTTTGGATTCTCACAGTTCATTATGCCGAGTATCTAGCAAATGTTTACCAAATAAAATGTGAATAAGCAAGTAAGTGAATGAATGAATGTCTTGATGGGAACATGAATATCTAGGATGTAGGACGGCTGATGAATGAGGCTCATGACAATCACAGAAAAAGGAAGGAGATGGGAGGGTGGATGGTATTTCACAAAGTGATAAAACTTGCACTATATCTATTTGTTACTTAAGGACCTCAATGGCTATGAATAATAAATACAGATATATTTATGGGTATAGAGGCAAGTGCATTACATACCCTGGAGGATGGCCATACTCCTTCTAAGCTATTACTACTTTGATAGGTCAATACGGTTTTTGGCACACACAATAAGGTAGAAAATGTGAGCTATGTATGTGTCAAACAGTAATGAAGTATGGCTTAACCTAGTGAGTGGTATCAACCCCGCCTCATGCCTCTATAAACCATTTATCTCAATCCTACTCGCTTAGAGGCTTACAGTTTTCATATATCTAAATAGCTCTTTCCAAAGTTTAGGTAATGGTTCGCATGCACAATAAAGCCATACAACTCAGCTACTTGATTACACAAAAGAAAATTAAAATGTTATTTGATAATGTTTTCCTGGACAAAAGATAAAGTGGCAGGAAATCGGGATCATGCCAAACAAGCAATTATGAAATGTCTAAAGGCAGAATTTTTAGAGTTCTTACAGGGGAGGGACAGGGATTCTGGAAGAAGAGAACTACTGCAAACAGACCCTGGACACTGGGAAGACACAGCACCCAGGGTGCACTACACAGGCCTGGCCTTTAAGTACCAAGGAAAATCAAGTGGTCAAGGGAACTAAATGGATCACAAAGCACTTAAAATGCAAAATGCTAATAATGATGGCCCCAAAGGTCTAGCAACAAGAATAAGAATGGAAATTAACTCTCTCTCGGATTCTAGCCAGAATTTCTTTATGTAACAGTGGCCTTTGGAGGAAAATATAAATACAAACACTCCTTTGGATTTTAGGAAGATTTGCTGGCTTTGAATTAACACTGACAATAGTTCACTTAATCATTAATTACAGACCCACGGATCATAGAAATGAGAAGCCTAACTGAACCAGAGTTACAAGTACCTGAATCTTCTTTCTCTGAGTCTGATGGAAGATGACTGATTTTTGAGTAGTGGTAAGATTTTTATCTAAATTCATAATGGTGTAGAAAACTACATTTCTATAGTGGCGATTCACGTTACGATCTGTGATGATCATAACTGAACTGGACTCGAGTTTTATGACTCCACCAGCTGCCTGCTCACAGGAGGAGGAAAGGCAAGTGCTGTGAACGGTGACTTCACAGGTGCCAGTGCGACACGGCACATGCTAATGACAGAATCCAAACCCGCCACCAAATTCCAGAGTCAGTAATCCAACCAGCCAAATACAACAATGCCATCTGCATGTTGTTCTAATAAATATTACCTGTCTTCTTATTTTCTCTAAGGACAGAGTACTTATTTTAGAAATTTTTCACTGTTTTTTGTTTGTGTAAAATACATACAAACTTGTGTGTGTGTACATATATACACATATACATATATACATATATGTGTGTATACTACTCATAAAAATTATTAGTGTATATTCATAAAATAATGGTTTCATAGTACATTTTAATCAAATCTACTATCTAAGTTATTGCTTATTTCTATAAGCAATAGCTTCTACTTTAGAATATCCACCTTCTGATCTGCTTTCCCTTGGAAAAAAGCAAAACTAGGAATATATATAGATGTATGTATGTATGTATGTATATATTTTTTAAGCACATTGGATGTGAAATTTATTACTGAACATGATTTGTTAGGGTATAGGAGAGCACTGTCGAAACTCTCAACGAAGCTCTCAGGAGTGCAGGGCTCGCCACTTGTCCAGGGGACCACGATTAGGGATATATTTAACCCCACAGCCATCAGGAATGAGCCGTTTCTCAGCAACCATGTCTTCAAATTCATCTGCATTAAACTTGGTGAAGCCCCACTTCTTTGAGATGTGGATCTTCTGGCGGCCAGGGAACTTGAACTTAGCTCTATGAAGAGCCTCAATCACATAGTGCAGATGGACATGATGACCTGGCCAATGTGAACCCTGGCTACTGTGCCCTGGGGCTTCCCAAAGGCACCACGCATACCCATCTGGAGCCTGTCAGCTCCAGCACAGGACAACATCTTGTTGATTCGGATGACATGGAAAGGGTGGAGCCTCACTCGAATATGAAAGCCATCCTTGCCACAACTCTTTACCATGTATTTGTTGGCACAAATACGGGCAGCCTCTAGAGCTTCAGAAGAAAGCTGCTCATATTCATCTGACACCATGTGGCCACAAAGTGGGAATTCATCTACTTTTGCCTTCTTCCATCCCAAATCGAAGATTCGAATTTTAGCATCAGGGACACCTCGGCAGAAGCGAGACTTTGGGTACGGCTTGTTCTTACAATATCGGTAACACCGGGCAGGGCGGCGACCCATGATGACAATTTGATTGTCGGTAATGGATCGGCGCGCCAGAGGAAAAGAGACTGTATGTATATTTTTAAATTTCATTATTTTGCAGCTTCACTTACTCAAATAAGAAAGGTTAAATTATGTGAACTATTACTAAAATTGTGCATTAATAAAGTTTATCAATGAGTAAGTTTATTAATAAATGAAGTTTATTAACTAATACTAATGAATTATGAAGTTATAGAGTATTAAAGTTAACACAGGGTTTATAGTGGCTATAAGCCTGAACCACAAACAATTTCCAGGCCTGCTTACTACCACTCTGAGAACGGACGTTGTACAAACTTAGCCTCTCGGTCCTTTGTTTGCCTAACATTAAAATAAGTGGGATAACTGTGTAAGGCTGGGCCCATGGATATGTCCACAGCAGATGGAGGGGCCCATCGGGCCCTGTTTCCTGAGGATTCATAAGCAGTTCACAGTTGAAGGGAGAGGGAGGGACATTTTCTGCAGTGGTGTAGCCACTGGTAAGGTGCTTTTGCTTCTTCAATCCTAATGAAACTTACTGGGAAAGAAGGGAGGGAGGAAGGGAGAGGGAGGGAGGGGGGAAGGAGTGAGGCAGGGAGGAAGGGAGGGAAGGGTGATAGTAGAAGTAGAGCAGTTAGGAAGGGAAGGGAGGAGGGAGGGGAGGGGAGGGATTAGTAGTAGAGGGTATAGGAGGTAAAGGCAAATGTGATGATCAAAACGCATCATGTACATGAATGAAAATGTCATGGTGAAATCTGTTATGTGCAAGGAATGGAGGAAGCCCTGAATAAATGTGCACTGTTGGCATGGGCACAGCCATGCCAAGGACCAAAACCTCTGACCCATGGAAAATTGGCCAAACCATTAGCCAAACCACATGGTTGTGGCAAATATATACAATTGATATATGTTAATAAAAACATTGTAAGTAAACAAGTAGGCTAATAATGGGCCTACTTCACAGAAGTGGTGTATATGGACCAAGTTACGCTAGTTGGCTTGCTTATGTAGATTGATAAAACGCTTAGTTAGGGTCTGGAATATAGCAAACTCAATATACATCTGCTTTTGTTGTTGGCATCCATAAAGTCAGGTTAGGAAGCACTGTATCCATTAAATTTTATATGAAAAAATTTACTATTTTTTCCTGTCATCAAATATTTTTATCTCCTATCATCATGGTTCCTCACTTTTTTTCAAGTTCTACAGCTGTAGCCCAGACGAAACATATTTACTAAGGTGAAAAGGCACAGGAGTGAGAATTAATTTACGTTCTTTCATAATTAGTAAAAATATAAGTGTGTTAAGTTTTAGGATAGTCTGGAATTCACATCTGTCAAATAATGAAAGATAATTATAAATTAATCTCAAACTATAACTCTGAAACTTCTCAATTCTTCCTCCATTTTGTTCTCATTCACCCTCCAGGAAAATACTTGCAAACTGGTGCAAAGGAAAGTGATGTAAGTAAATACTACCTTTATCACTCCCGTAATAATAAAACACTGTTTTGCTGAGAGCACACCACCGTTTCTGCCATTCAAACCCCAGGAAGCTGTGATCTGCAAAAGGCAAGGCAGAGAGCAGGTTAGAACTACACATGACTAACACGACGCCATTTCCTTACCACATGAGGGAATTTCTGATAGAATTTCTGAGCTTCCTTTTACCTCTGACATCAGTCTGTATTTTCCATCACAAAGGACAAGCAATGGCAATGGATAAAGTCTGGTACAGACAGGGCCACCACAATTATGATTGGCCACCAAGCTTTCCCTACAGGGACAGTCTCAAAAAAGTCATCTGACTACATCGTCTTGATTTAGATAACCCATGGGATCTGCTTTTCTCAAAAGGGAAGGGGAGGATTGACGTGGATCGTTTCTACCACCTCTTTCAGCTTAAAAAGATTAAAAAGCAGCACAGGTGGGTTACAATCAGGTCTGCCGCGACAAGCTGCACGGCGTAGGGGCTCTCACTCCTTAAATCAGACCACCACCCCAGACACGGAAGTCACAGTTAGCGAGGCCAAACGAGCGGCAATGCTGAAGTGACAGACAAGAGCAGGTGAGGCAGCAGACATTCTGAACCTTAGCAGGCCAGTGTGTGCCAGTCAGATGCCAGGGGCTCACATGGGCTAACGTGAGAAACTCCAACCTTGAGAGCACAGTCATGGCCTAAGGCTTTCCCGGAAGACAGGGGCCGCTGCTCTTGAATCACTTACAAACAGCCCAGGTGGCACTGAACGCCACACCTCAGGCTTTGCCAGTAAAAACTCTGTAAAACTCAAGTGGCGGTTCATGTTTGGATAAGGTGACCCGCATTTTCTCACACCCTTTAACTGCCGTGAGTGTCCCACAGATATGTGTTATCTTAGGACAGAAAAAAACCAGCTTTTGTGTTTTCATTAGCTCACCTTTTCTGCGTTTTTCCAGGTAGCCAGCTTTTAGGACAAAAGGAAGGTCCTGGGCTGCAATGGGAGGAAACTGGTTTCCTGTAGGAAGTGAGAGAAAGAAAAATCAGCGGGTAATTCACTTTGGAAAAGTCTGCTGACCTCATTCCATGACACTCAGTGCATTAATTACTGCAATTACTCAAATCAGATCTGGCAACTTTACTTCAAATCCAGCCCATACACTCCCTTCTCTGAGTTAAAAAGAAAAAAAAAACAAAAACGTGTTTCTAAATACAAATGCAGTTGAGTTACCTCAAAAGGGTGACACTTTCAATCTATAGTCAATAAACACAGAACTGTAACAGATAAACACAACAAACCCCAGCTAGAGAGGTTAGGAAGTCCAAACGAACCACTCACATTTCCACTGCATTAGCTCCTCAAAAGTGTGTGCACATCAGCCCTGACCTGCATATTCTGACTCCCACCAACTGAAACAGTGATTCCCCCAAAGGCAAAGACAGCCTTTGTTCCTTTGTCCACATCAAGTTCTCTCCCGCTACCTGAATTCACAGAACAACCTTAAGTCAACAGTGTGCCAGTCTGCTCTATGATTTAGCTTTTCATAAGGCATTTAATTTAAGAGTCTAAAACTAGATCATCTAAAACCAGCATAAACAAACAGGGTATTTCTATGAAAAAAAAAAAAAACCCCATAAAGATTAAGCTGTAAGTTAAAATCAGAAACTCATGATAATACGTGACAGGATGTTTAGTAACTTCAGTGGTATTCTTGGAAATTTCCCCAACTCCTTACAAGAGTGATGACAGACAGACAGACAGATGATAGCTATAATAGATACGTAGATGAATAAATAAGTACTTTTTTTTAAACCATGTAGAAATTGTATTTCAGGGGACAACATTAAATTAACCATGGCATTGTGGAACAACTGGGTCTCACTGGATAGCAGTACCATAATCTTTGTACTCCACTGGGCAAAGATACTAACCCAAAACAAATGTTCTCTGGAGCCACTGAAATTGCTCAGCAGGTAAAGGTGCTTGCTACCAAGCCTAATGACCTGGGTTTGATTCCCAGGAGACACAAAGTAGAAGGAAAGAACTGGCTCTTGTGGGCTGTCCTCTGACCTCCACATGGGTGTGTGGACACATGCACACACAAAAATAAATGTAGTACAAGTTTAAATGTTCTCCAAGCTTCAAGAGGAAAACAAGTTAGTCTGAAGTAAAATATTTTTTAATTTATAAAAATTTTATACATATTAAGTATCTCCCCTCCATGTACTATAAGTGCTCAACAAGCCTGAAGGACAGAAGTCAGTGTGGGATCCCCTGGAATTGGAATTACAAATGATATAAGCCACCATACGGGTCCTGGAAACCAATCCTTGCCTCTTTGCAAACACAGCAAGTGCAGTTAACTGCTAAGCCATCTCTCCAGCCCTTGAGGTATTCACTTTACTGAACAGAAACAAGAGTAGATGGGAGAAAGGAGGGAGAAGAAAAAGTAAGGAGAGAAATTTGTTAGGGTGAATATATCACTTAACCTGGGTACTATGGGAAAATGGTTGATTAAACTGATAAATCACAATAAAATATAATGTCATAAGCAATATTTACCCTAATATCTCATGACCTCATGTTTCTTGAATATAATCTTTTTTTTTTTTTTTTTTTTTTTTTTTTTTTTTTTTTTTGCCAGAGAAGGAAAAACAAGTTCTTAACTGAAATTCCACTTTTATAAACCGGTATAGCTACTTGACCAATATCTAAGATTCAACAGCCATGTACACTTTTTATAAACAAAAGTACATCAGCGATAACCCCTTAAATATACATATATATTTAAGTCCTCAGAAGAACTTTATGATTGTGTAATATGATAAGTAGTTAATACTTTCTGATAGACATTTGTTATAATACATAAAAGCAGCAACTTTCCTTTTAAAACCTTGAATCCTCACATCACTTAGGCTGCCCACAATGGTCAGGAGTATGTCTTCAGTTAAGATTCATACCAGGCCAAAGGACAGAGGCTCTCCAGACCAATGACCACCAAGACAAGAAAGCTATGGCTATACACCTCTATACAGTGGGTAACAACAGAGAGACTCTGGACAACCCCTTATACTAGAACACCATCTCACTGGAAAGACTGATTCTGCACAGGTTAGACAATACTGTTATTCTCAAATTATTTCCTTTTCTTAAGGTAAAGACATTAAAAAGAAGAAATCACATCCTAACTAAGAACACAGAGAAAATATTAACTTGTGTTGTAGGGTACTCTATTTATATATAGAAATTATATATAGAAATATAGAAATTATATATAGAAAAACAACAGGAGATTGGTTAAAAGGCCACAAGCTTGATATTCTGAAGAAATTGGACTATATTTTAAGTGACTATTTATTTATTATGACAATCCTACTTTTCTAAAGCAAATCAAAATATTAGACACTGGAACTAACACCCTGTTCCCTAGACATGGTAACATGCCTCAGTAAGCCCAGCATAAAAATGAACTAATCCCAGCAAGGGAACTAAGCAAGGAGTAGGTTTTCCTCCAAATCCAGCTTGCAATCTTGAGGTAAAGGCCAGAGGACAGGTAGGCAGCAGTGTGTTAGCAGCATTCAGGCAGGGAACTGGCTTTGGCTCCTTACACCACTTCTACTGGGATGTGAAATCTGAAAACTTGCAAAGCCGGTGCAGAGCTGATGGGATAAAGCTGACCCAGACAGGCTACAGAGCAAACAGGTCACTGCCTGCTTCGGCACAGCTCACCTTCAACAGGATCAAAGTCTATCCTGGATCACAGCAACTTTTAGAAAGCTTGAAGTATGAACTAAAACTCAACACAAGCTGTGACTCTTAGTTCTACATTAGCTTCTCGTCCAGTTGCTTCTCTTATAGGAGCAGGTGTCGGGGATCAGAGTGTCTCAAAGACTTTTCACAAGAGCCATCTCGGATTCATTTCCTTCTCATACTTTTATGAGAAGGTTGGTAGCCAATTTAAATGCTAGACTTATGAGGAACCTAAAACCCCTTTTGCTATTCTACCATTAACAAGTCATTATGATATTATGGGCCTCATTGTTCACATTTTTATAGTTGTTCAATCTTGACTTCATGCAATTCTCAATCAGTTTCTGAGCCTTGCCTTGCTGACTACAGTTTTCGTTTCATTGCTTGGCATTTATATAGTCTTCGACACGAACACTAAACCTTTCAGTTAGCATAATCTTCCTACCACTTCCATACCATTAAAAAACCCTGTATGTATTGGAAAAGACAGGAAAGGGATTTTTTTTTTTTTTTTAAAGAGACTTCTTTGCTCACATGATCTTTCACTCTGAGTCAAATCTTGATCTACGCAAATACTCTGTCACCACATGATGGGACTATTTCCTTGAAACCCAAAAAAATTAAGGATAAACTCCTCATCAGTCAACCCTCTCCCCACCGAACATTAAGTACCTATGGGCAAATCCAAACCTTTTATCAAAATAATATTTTATTAATGTTTTGAGAATTTCATACAATATATGTGATCATATTCATCACCCTCCTATCTCCTTCCAGATCCACACACACCTCCTTTTGTTTGTTTGTTTGTTTTATTTAACTACCAATCTGTGCTGCCCAAATACTCCTGGGTATGGGACCTGCCCTGGACCAAGGCTGAGCAACCAGGAGTCACACCCTTAAAGAAAACTGACAGCAGTTATGAACTGTCAATAGCTTCTCAGCTAAGAGTGGGATTTTGTGTCCAGTCCCTCCAACCAATCCAGAATTTTGTCTGGTTTGAGCTCATGCAGGTCTTGGCATATCATTACAACCACTGTTGAGTTCATATAAGCAACTGTCCTGTCATGTCTAGAAACACCTTTTGTTGTAGTTTTAAGAAGAACGAAAGGAATGGAGGGAAGGAGGGAGGGAAGGAAAAAAGAAAATAATAGGTCAACCTCTCTATTGAATATAGATGAAAAATTCTCAGACTTAAACCTAATTCAAGAGCACATTACAAAGATTATCCACCACGACCGAGTTAGCTTTATCCCAGCGATTCAGAGATGGTTCAATATATGTAAATCAATGAATATAATCCACCACATAGATTCAAGGACAGAAAACACATGATCATCTCATTAGACTCAGAAAAGGTTCTGACAAAATCTAACACCTCTTCATGATAACAGTCCCAGAGAATATAGGGAACCAGGGGTCATATCTCAATATAATAAGGACAATACACAGTAACAACCCATACCTAGTATCTTGCTAAACAGAAAAAAAACCCAAAGAATTTTTAGGAATAAGAAGGTAGTTCCCCTCTGTCCTCTTCTGTTCAATATAGTGTTTGAAGTCCTAGTAAAAACATAAGAACAATAGAGCAAGATAAAAGAGGTACAAATAGGAAAAGAAAAAGTCAAAATATTCTTATTTACAGAAGATATGGTTCTATACATAAAATATTCCACCAGACCATTCCCCTGCTGATACATATATTCAGCAAAGTAGCAGGATACAAAATTACACAACAATCAGTAATCTTCCTACATACCAACAGCAAACATACCAAGGAAAAAAGTCAGGGAAACAATATCATTCCAGATAGCAAAAACAAAACAAAGCAAACAAACAAAAAACCAACAACAACAAAAGAACTCCAACAACAAAAGCTTGGAATAAATCTAAAGAAGTAAACGACTTGTACAATAAAATCTTGTCCACAGCCTTTTAAATTCCTTAAGTCCCCAAATTGAGGGAGATAGTGCTTCCTTTCACTTCTAAATTCCAAGGATGAGTCTAAAAACAGCCTAGTTGTTTGGTAAATATACTCATTTTAAGGAAAAAAATTATCCATTTAATGCTTGTTTTATATTTGATGCACATCGTAAAGGCTTAACTCTTCAGAGACCACCACCTCACTCCACATTGGGAACACTGTCCTATTCATCCATCTATGATCACTTGTCTAGCTTTTCTTAAGAAACGGCTTCAGAGGCACTCAGACCCCTTGGTAACTCCAGTCCCAAAGGATCTGATGTCCTCTACTGACCTCTGTGGAC